CTCATTCTCTATTTCATAATTTTATCACAACCAAGTTCACGTTTCTTTTATTTATTTTCATAATGAAATAATACATATCACTCTCTCGATGAATGTAAACTGTTTCTAATTTCATTTGAGTTTCATCACTACGTACTGATGAAGATCTTTTTCTTGTGCTAGGATATAGCTTTCAAATACAACTATGAGCATTGAGTACTCGTGTACCAGAACTCAATGTAAATGGATACGATTGAAAACATGATTGACAACTGGCAAAGCCTGGAAGCGGTTCAAATTTTTCTTTTATATGAGATTTCTTGGCTGAAAAACCTAAAAACTTGCCAACATACTAAAGATTAGTTCTTTTTTAGGTAATCTTCAAAGAATCTGGAGTGATCTCTTCGAGATTCTCAGTGATCCTACAGGGAACTCTGCGTCATTCCTGAAAATTTTCCGCGCAGCTCCATTCGGAGCTGTTGAGTGTGGTTGGATGTGAGACAGAATGATTCTTTTGATCAGTATCACGACTCTGTCCAAAAAATCAGCTGCTCACATCACTAACCTTTTATTTTAGCGTCGCGGCCAATACTCATCTCTGTGTACATAGCGAGCGGAACTACATAATTGACATATTAAAATATTTTTTGGATGAATCTCATCTTTTCCTTGTTTCTATCGTTATTTATCAAACTTACAAAATATAAATTACTTTGAAACTCCAATGAAGCATCTACTACACCGAAGATCATCTCCAGATCTCTTGGAGATCCTGTCAAGACCTTATTGGATTCCTCTGGAGGCCATCTCAGGATCTCCGGAGTTACTCTCAGAAATTTCTGGGTGCCCTCTTCAAGTCATGAGCTGAAGTCTTTAAGTGAGTTATAATTGTGATAAAAGTTTTGACTTTGGCTTTTTGGACATAGTGGTGCTGTGGAAATTTTTGGAAAACTTGACTTATTTTCGAACTCGAATTAGGCATCTACCAAGGACATCGATTATTGTTTTTCTCTTGGGAGAAAATTCTACAATTTTCCAAAAAAATCCTTAATGTAATTTTATACTGAGGAAAGTTTTTCGTTAAAACTTTGCAGTTTGGGAAAATTTTTAATTTTAACGACAGATTCTGCATCTCTACAGCAGACTATAGATCAATAGGAATGTAACCACTCATATTTTATTCGATATATGAATCTTTTGGCAATGATAGAAGTAATGGAGAGAGAGAAGATGCTAGCAATGAGAATTTTGAATTTTTGAAAAATCATCTTTCATTTTTATTTTCTTACTATTAGTATTTTCCAAAATTTTCTTGAATCTTTTCTGGTTATTGTGAATAATTTATAAAGTTTGTCTCTTTTCTGTTACCAATTTCAAGAACTTATGAGAAATATCTTTATTCTTAAGTCCAAAAAAAAGTACGACTTCATTCGTGTAATTATTTATATTTTTTTTTTTGTCTTCAAAATAATCTTTTATTAATAATAGTTTTATCAATGTCAAGTAAACTTTTTGAAATGACGATAACAGTATAACAAGGAAGAATATGCTTATTGTTACTTTTGTTCTCTTTTTTGAGTAAGAAAAATTAGAAATATGCAGTTCGAATAAGAATATAAATATTGATATTCTACAAGAAGAAAATTTAGTATTCATGGAATTGTATTTCATTTTGCTATTCGAATCATGACAAAAAAAGAATCGTTCGTGTAGTGTAAACAAATAGAATTTATTAATCGACAATTTTAAAATTGAATAATGATTTTCATAGTTCTCTTCTATGGCATTTTAGCATGTAATAATCATTATGACAAATAACATCAATTTAAACAATGCAATTAATAATGTAGTCGCCTCTGATGATGGTTAGGGATAGGTTATCGTATTTTCATCGTTCATGATTCATTTTATAATGGATAGATAAATTAATAGGTATTCGAAAAAATTCTCTGTATGTCAATGTTTGAAAAATAATCTAGAATTACATATTCGATGGGTGATATTTATTTACGTTCAATGATGGAAGTATTTCAAAGTGATCGATTTACAGTTTTACTAATTTTTGGTATGTTGCCTGCTATTATTCTCGGTTCAGGTTAAGTATTTCTTTTGATTAGAAAATTTTTATTTTTGAATATTTTTTTTTCTTTTTTTGTGTAGGATCAATTGCAACAATACTTGTGAATAGGCATGGATATCGAAGGATAACAATAATTGATGCATGTCTAGCTGCTCTTGGACTTTTTAGAAGTTCTTTCTATGCAAATATCTGATTTTATTACATTGCTATTGGTATTGTTGGAGGTATGTTTAAGTTTGTTTTCATTCATTGTTTGAAATATATATATACAACTAGGTATTGATTTTGGACTGATTTATTTACCAGCCATTGTTTCAGTGAGTTTCTATTTCGAAAACAAACGTTCCCTTGCATTGGATATTGATGTTTGTGATTCAGATTTAGGTACAATAGTATTTCCTTGAATTTTGCCATACATCATTAATTCACCCATATGGTTTGATTACAATGGTACTTTCCTAAATGAATCAGCTACCATCTTCAAATGTGTCATCTGTAGAATGTTAATGGTAATTTTATTAGATTTTCTCAGTGACTATGAGTATAAGAGATTTTCTTTTATATGTTTAGATTCCTTTACCAAGAGAACCTAGTGAAATATGACGTCTAGAAAAAAAAGCATGAATTGCAGCTAAACAACAAGCACAAAAAATAGTAACAAATGCTGATAATATGATTGACATCAACGAACAAAAAAACCAGTTGCTACCAAATCAAGAACGGTTTGTAACATAAATTATATTGTATTGTAAATTGAGTATCTCAAATACAATGTAACTATTCATCAATCGAGTCGAGTTTCGTTGCATTAATAATTAACTATTTTCTGTTAAGACATTGTTCACTATTGGAAAATATATTTAGATCATTTCTATTGTTTTCACAGGACACCATTCCAAAATATAAAAGAAACAACTTTACTTATACCCAGTCAATAACAACAAAAACTATTCAATGACGATGAACGTCACATATTACTTCCAGATGTCAAGCGAAATATATTAGTAAATGAATCTGATGAAAATAATGATCATGATAAAATACTTTCTGAATCTCTTGAACATGAATCTCCAAAAATAGATACTGAACTTCAGTCTTATTTGTACGTAAGAATGCTGTTTATCAAGGTGATCTTTGTCATATATCTTTATTTAATGAAAATATTGATGAATATCATCGATAAATAATTATGACAACTGATATGGAAACAGTTCAATCAAATACATCAATTAATGAAAAAACAACGATGACTCGGAAGAAATTATTTATTCATGAACTTAGCAATGAAATTGATCTTACATTATTTAAAAATAATGCATATATTCTATTTGTTATATCAAATTTTTTGACTAATCTTGGTTTTAATATGCCCGATAATTTTGCTAATGATATAGCTATTGATGAAAATATTATTGAACATCGTCGACATTGGATTATTAAGTCAATTGGTATTAATAATTGTATTGGTCATGTTATAATTGAATTTCTTGGTAATTTGAAATGAGTACAAAATCTTTTCTTTTTCTAATCAAAAAATAATTTTTATTATTTATTTTTTATATTAGGTTAACCGTTTATATCTATATAATATAGTACTGATCATTACTGATCTAGCTACAATAATAGCACCACTATGTGGTTCAATTGTTTATTGACATATGACTTATGGAATCTTTTTTTGAATTTTTCTCTGGTGGTTATGTTGATTTAACATCAGTTATTGCTAGTGATTTAGTTGGTATAAACAGAATGTCCAAAGCTCTCGGTGTAGTTTATTTATTTCAAGGTGTTGCCATTGCTATTAATACACCCATTGTTGGTAAGAAGAAAAAAAAACCTTCTTTTTCTTTCTTCTGATTATACTTTCTTACATCTGTAAGCAATAATGCGTGACAGACTTAAGGATTTTTCTCAACCATATCGTTGGCCTTATTTCATATTTGGTAGCTCAATTATTTTAAGCGGTGTTATTTTACTTGCTATTCTAATATTAAAATGACGATAAGAACACCATCAAGGACTAAAAAAACATCAAACGAGATATGGGTGTTATATCATATTTAAAACCAAGTTCATCAGCTGACGAACAATTACAACAACTGTAAATTATTAATTTCGATTTATCAGTCTATATAATTTAGAAATTAATATATAATTTTTTCAATATTTTTTTATTATACGATAAATCTTAACGTTATATAACAAATAACATATAAATACGGAAAATTCTTAAAATATTGTTTTTATTTTTAATAAAGCTCTATTTTGAATATCATTTTTCATCGTTTGTTGTCTTGTCTTTGTTTTTATTTTTAATAAAGCTCTATTTTGAATATCATTTTTCATCTTTTGTTGTCTTGTCTTTGTTTTTATTTAAAAAACCTCCATGAAATGTTATCGGTTTTCTTTTTCACCCCTTTTGGCACGAAATTTTTTTTCTCTTTATTTATTAAGGTTAAAAAAAGATAAGAAATGTCCCATTATAGCACTGACATGAATTTTTAAATAATTTTGTTTATTTACTTTTTAATTTTACGTTTATATAAAAAAATAGGAACGTGACAAAAAACCAGAAGAAGATAATAAATTGACATGACTTTCATGAAAATCACCTCTTCACACTAAAACTTCGTATGATTCATTCTCTTTATTCCTCATTGTATAGAGAAAAAAAAGTATCCTACTGCGATGTTTGTTGACTCACAATGACAATGATTTCATAGAACGCGAAAAACATACATAGAATGACTACATACATGTTTCGTTATGTTTTTGGAGGCTTTTTCTTTCGCTTTTTCTTTTTTACACTTGCTCCCCTTTCTCATTTGATTATTCACGTTGGTAGGGTAGTATATATTCTTGTCACACGATATCCACATATTTTAGATATAGTTAAACAGTGATGCTTGTATTCAACAATCGAATTTGAAATATATTTTAGATGCCACCACCACCTCCACCGCCACCACCACCTCCGCCACCACCACCACCGCTACCACCTTCGTCGGCACCACCGGCAACAGGTGATGGAGATCGAGCAGGTCTTCTAAATGCAATTGGTGGTTTCAACAAGGGTGGTCTGAAAAAAGCCGTGACTAATGATCGAAGTGCTCCGCTGGTTGGAAATTCCACCAATAAGACCAATCCTTCTACTTCTGTGCCAAGTTCAACTGCAAATCGATCAAATGCAAATGAAAGACCTAATACTGCTCCTGTAGCCAGTCCATTTGGTATCACACCAGATCAGCTTAGTAGAGCTCTGAAACCGACTGGTGGTAGTAGTGGATCGACAGTCAAAGCTCTAAAAACTGAAAAACCATCGGTTCCACAATTTGTTCCTCCTGTCATTCCGCAATCATCGCCACAAGCAAAACCAACAGTTGTCAAATCATTTCAGCCAACAGCAACTTCTCCTCCTTCTTCTCCTCCTCCTCCTCCACCTCCACCACCTCCTCCTCCTCCACCACCACAGCAAGTACAACAATCAGTTGTCCAACAATCTCAATCACCAATATCTTCATCTAATATATCTCGAACTGGAAGTAAGAATACTTTTAAAATGAAATTTTATCGAATCGAATTATATCATTGTATTGCACTATGTAGTTGATGGAGGAGCTTCAACAAGACATTTCATTCATCACGCTCCGCCAATTCCAGCAGCTCAACCACCAAAGCTTCCTCCACGGCAAGCTCCTCCACCGCCACCAGCACAACCGTCGTCGTCATCGTCGATATCAGTATTATCTAATGAAAACAAACCGAAAACTGGACATCATTCACAAAACTTTTCATCTTCAACAGGTTCATTTCATGTTTTTCTTACTATTCGATAAACAAATAGAATTCGTTGTATATATTTTTCTAGGTCCACAATCAAATATCACACGTGTACCATTACCACCGCCTCCTCCTCCTTCAAATCCATCTTCTACATTACATAATAATGGCCATGCACCAGCTGTAACACTTAATCCAGATCATGTTGCAAAATTTAATACGATGATGAATCAAAATGGCCCTCATGCTTTCAATCCATCTCCACCACCACCACTACCTCCACCTAGAGGTACGGTGTCAAATAATCCTGGAGGTACAGTACGTCGACCATCACAACCAGTATCCGACTTTATTGATAATACACCTTCTGAACGTCGTTTTGATCAATGGAATACAGCAGCACTTGATTATGATCGTGATTTCGAAAATCGTTTTCGATTTACTCCAATTGAACATCTTCCACCACCTGCACAATGGAAATCATCATCAACTAAACCATCGAAAAATGCAAATTTGCACTAAAATCAAACAATTAAAAAAATCGTTGAGCTTTTCTGAAAAGAAAAAACAAACAATTGTCCTTTGATTTCTTAATTTTTTTTCCTCGGTGTTTTGTTAAAAGAAAAGAGAGAAATACAGTGATCACTTTTTTTTTTACCACGATGTAATTATCATTAATTACTATATATTTTTTTTTCTTCGTCGATTGTTCTTAATTTTAATTTTAATTTTATCTTTTTCTTCTGTGTACAGGAAAAATACATATATAATAAAGAGATTTTAAAGCAAAAATAAAAAGAAAACAAATTTATTAATATTTTCTTTTTATATAGATTTAAAACTCCCAAAGAATAGTATATTTGATGTCGAGTAAACTTAATTGAAATTGATTACAAATAGTGGCGGATTCAGGAGGAATATATATGCTCTACGTAGTGTTATTACTTGTATGAAATATTGTTTCTCTTGTTGGATACGATTTCTATACCTGTCGGACAGGTAATGAGCGCTTGTAGAGTTTAGCATTGAAATAACCGACAATCATGTTAACAGTTCATTTATGCTCGTTTTGTCGATAATTAATAGGTATGAGATTTAGTAGGAACTTCTACGTAATTCATGTTCCGAGTCATGTTTAATGCAACAATGCTTTCTTCTCGACTATCAAAGTTCTTTTACAAATTTATGCAATATCACAGGTGATAAAAGCCACAGACGAACGAAACTTTTTCAGCATTAACGTTGATAAAATCATGCCTTCAATGTACGATAGATGAAAATTGTCTGAATGAACTATCTATAATGTATGCATTCATGATTTATTTCTTAGTTGTTTTTTTTCCATAAATTATTTTCATTTACCACTACCGTTCAAAATTTTCATGATCCACTACTGATTAGAAATTGCTAATGAACATGAAATTAAAATTATGCAAGATGTTTATAAAAAAAATATTTAAAAAAATCAAATATTTTTACAAATTTCAATTAATAAATTCTATTTTTAAACAAAATAAAGAATAACCATAATTTGTCATGAAAAAAAATATATTTTATTCGAAAATATCACGATTCATAATTAACAAAATATACATTTATTTTTCATAACTGTAATTTAACAATTATGTTTCAAATATTCTTGAATAAATCTATATGTATGGATCATTATGTAGATTTACGTTTTGTTTTAAAGAAATCTTTTTTTTTCAAACATTGAAAAAAAAACATTCTAAAACATGGTATTATTCTTCTTGTTCTGTCCACGTGTCTAATCGTATATGACGACAAATTTGTTCATCCGATGGCACATAAATACGTTCAATAGGAACACGAAGTTGATCAAGTTGATCTTTTGGTAAAACAGCGTTATTATATTGAGTTTGAACGAATGAAGTTATATCCACAATACGTATAATATCACGACCATCAAGAAAACTTTCAATTTTTTTAAGACCTAATTGAATAGCTCGACGACCATGGATTGGTTGACCATGTGGATGATGATCAGGATCCCATTGTAAACGAATTAATCCTTGATGAATTTTATTTTTCGAATCTTGTTCATCATCTTGAGGAAGACCTTTGTGTGAACTATGCAGAGCTTGTGCTAAATAACTATCAAATGCTGAACGTCGAAGCCATATTGCTAAAATATGTTGTTGATTAGATGATGTTGCCCATTGAGATCGATACATCATCCAAAGAAAATTTGTTTTTATCCCTAAAATAATATTTTTTATTCTTTTTTTCTTTTTTTTAATAAAATATTATTGATATTGATATCATACATGTCATACGTTGTTGATTGTAACCAGGACATCCTGTAAAACGATTATTTTCACAAGCAAATTTTGCAATTTCGGAATTATATGCTTGATAGACTATTATTGATTCATCATCAAAAGATGCTAATATCCATTTACCAGGTGGTGGATTCTCTTTGTTAGTTGGCCATCGACGTTCTGCATCATTATATAATTCTGTAGCATTTTCATATTTACTTAACCAATCCATAGAATTCGACAATGTTTTGCAAACAGACAAAAATTTGTAAGAAATTTTTACTACAAATGCTCGATGAAAAAATACTTCTAATATATAATATTTGAAAATATTAATGCATTCTTATGCAATACCATACGAGTATACGTTACAAGAAAAAAAAATACGTCAATTAGAAATATGTATTTATTTCATCATAATAAATTACTTAATCAGATTTATAGATTCAACCAATTTTTTTTTTAATAACATGAGAAGCCAAATTAAATCTACTGACTGTAAATAAATTTCAATTAAAATAAAAAATTGTGAATCATCATGAAACGAATAAAAATAGAACGCAAGTCGGTAGTATACTGCCATCTATTTCTTATACTATGTTTTTCATAAATTGAATAGATTTATTGCCATGCTTAAAGTTTATTTATTATGGCATCGTTCAAAATGCAAATAATTAAACCTTACACATCGAAAGCATTCATTACACTGACATAATGTCGTTTTAGACTTTCGATTATTTTCCTACTTAGATCATTCAATTTTTGCTTATATATATATTACTCTCATTCTAAAAATATCATGAACAGAGTTGAAATATTCGAAAATGATGTTTTAGTAGCTTTATTTAGAAAGTAACCATCTAATAAAGTAAACTTGTTAATAGTTGAAAAGCACGATTAAAAGATCAACTTTTTTCCCTTTTGATTTTTGACACAATCGTTCAGTTTCTTCCCCCGAGGTTATTGACATAAATTCAATGCCAAACGAACACACACTTCAATTTAGCATTGAAATCTATTATAATATATGATTTATATTGGTTAATATGTTCAAAGATAGTATTTTCTAGATAATAAACTTGTTCAAACACAAAAATCTATAATAATAAAAAAAAAAAACTTCAATTTTTTTTTTCTATTAATCTATGCTAAAATAAATTTCTAATATAAAGACAATCCTTTTGCATTAAGTAAATGGCTTGTAAGATATTCTTTAAAAAAAAACGACAATGAGAAGACAGTGACGAGAAGAGCGATTTAAAATGGGCAAATATTGATTTAGTCAACCAAACAATGATGAGACGAGTTGATGGTGGCCACCTCACACTTCTTCTCCTTCTTCTTTTCATCACCATCATCATCATCATTGTAGTCTTTTCTTTGCACGCATACATCGGCATAGCAGACAAACATACCAAGAACATCATTATTGGTAATAATAGAGCAAGTAGTTCAAGTGAGTTTTTTGTGTGTGCATATGTATGATTGATTTTTCGTTCGTCTTTAACTAATATTGACAATCATCATATGATTCTTCCATAGGTTTTTTTTTTGATTAATTTACTCAATAGACATTAGTTCCTCAAAATTTTATCAAGCATATTCGAGTATTTGCTATCTTCATTCAATTTTTTGAGAATCATTTGCAATGTGTTCGATAATAGGAGCCTTATGTTCATCTTCAATTCCGTGAGTGTATCTCTTGGCAATAAAAAAAAAAAAAAGAAAAAGAAGCCAACAAATAATCAAGCTATCGACGCTGGGTTTGGTAAAGAATATTTGACTAGACTTCAGAATATGTTCAATAGATGCATTCTTCGTTTCATAGTAAAGAAAAAAATCGTTTCCCATACTTTTATTGAATTTCAATTGATTCAAAAAGATTAATTTTGTCTACTTGTAGTTTTCTCATTACGAAAACGGAGATCAATGTTTGCTCACTCTTTTTTTTTTGCATTTTTCCGTTTTAACCTTTTATATTTAATATGTTGACCATTTTCGCATATATATTCTAATGAAAAAGGGTGTCAGTTTGAAAAGTAAATATATTCGAACAGACAGGTCATGAGACTGATCAACTGACTGTGTACCTAACGTACATATATCGATGAATATCAACCATATATATATGTATATGCTTGCCAACTTGTAACATACAAGTTTTATTATTTTATATGATGAACATAGTGCCAGTAAAAAAAAAAAAACTGTACATACACCATCTGCATGTTTACTTAACCCGAAATGAAAAGAACAGAATTAAAACTACTATTACTATGTCGATAAAACAAAACACTATATTTTGTCTCTGTCTTTCTCTCTTTTTCTCATAATCTTTAGAATAAAGTAAAAGAAATAAAAAAGAAAAGAGACGATGTTATTCTTGTGTACATAGTTTTCAAAAAACATATTGCGGTGTGCACACATACGAAATACGAATATGTGTATGTGAGAGAGAGAGAGAAAATGAGAATGAGAGAGAAAACGTTTGTTCAATATTTATTTACTGCAACTTCAATTAGTAAATATAGAAAGAGAAGCAAGTAAGTATAAGTGAGAATAAGAACAGAAGTAGAAGACGACAATTCTTGTTGTTCGACAAGCTGACATTACATATATATATATATATATATATATACATATATACATTTTATTATTAATCGTGTACGATCAAAGTTCAACAAAAAACTAGTTTTTGGTGAGTGTTGAAAAAAAAAAACTTACAAGTATCATCGGTTATTTTTTTTTTTTCTTCTTTGAAAATTATTTCTTTTAATCATGTGTCATTTTTATCGTTTTCATAACGTTCATTGACAGAGTTCTGATGATCAAACGAAGTATTTTATTTTTGTTGTCTATCCTATATGTGAAATGCTGTTAACAGAAGAACATAGAAGACAATTGCACCTACTCTCGATAAAGCTCATATATACACATATATATACTTAGTCAATTTTCTGTCTGATTAATATATATCCTTTTTTTTTTTTTGATGTTGATACTCATTTTCTCAAAGAATAAAATCATTTCTATCAACAATAACAAAAATATTCTAAGTCACATATACACATACCTTTTGTATCATCAGAAAATTTCATTTATAACAAAAAAAAAAAAAAAAGAAAAAGAAAAATGATGATTTAAAGTCGCAAAGAAAACATTGAATGATGATGATGACGATGTGTCGCTCTCATCATCTAATCAGTCAAAAAACTTCAAAGAAAATAAAAAGAAAAGAAA